TAGTGATTTATATATGTTAAAATTATATAAATTTATTATATTTTTGGTTCTGTATAAATTTTATAAAATGTACTACCGGTAGTACAGAAGCCTAAATCCAATCCATTAATTAAAAAACAAAAAACACGTGACTGGACACGGCTTTAGACGTCCCCCTTAATTAAAAATAAATGTTACGGCTGATGCTGATTTTTGGGGGTCTCAATTTGGATCCATTACACCTACTAAAACCCATATATACTCTTTAATTAACAATTCTAACCCTAAATTCTTGTCCAACTATTATTAAAAAAAAGCTAAAAAAAAATGTACCCCAAAAAATTATAAAATTTTGTATTAAAATGGGCCCCAAAATCAGCATCAGCCGTGACAATAAATAATAAATACTAATTTTTGGTCCCCAACTTTAAAATTGGTCTAAGATACATGCGTTTAAATCTTCACGATTATATGATTTTCTTAAAAAAAAAAAAAAAAACTTATTATGGCGAAGATTTAAATTTATATATTTCATGAACTATTAGACCAATTTTAACGATTTAAGTACCGTTAAAATGGCAATCATGCCCTCTACAACTTTACTAGAACTACAGAACTACAGAGATGAACATAATATAAGTTTTTTTTAAAAACAAAAATTTTTTAATTTTTGAAATATTTTACTATGTTTACCTTTTTTATGATTAAAACAAAAGGTTTAGGGCATTATTACTATTCTTGCGATACCTAATTCGTTAAAATTGGCCAGTATCTCACGAGATACATGCATTTAAATCTTCACCATTACAAGTTTTTTTTAAGAAAATCATATAATCGTAAAGATTTAAATGCATGTATCTCAAAGCTACTGGGCCGATGTTAATGTTTAAGTACTGTTAGAATTGTAAAATCTCTATTTTATCTTTATTAGAGGCACAAAGTAGGCAAGCAAAGAATTAGTATGTGTGAAATCATGTGATTGACAAGTATAAGCTTCCGATACCATACGTATTAAGATTTTTTTTTCGATATCAAGTTTACTTATCTGCTGCCAAAGTTTTGCTTGTACGTATACTGTTATCAATTTAATGTGATCATGTTATTGAAATAACCCAATAACGATAACTAGTTATTTGGGTTATTTCACTACGTATTCCCGTATGTAGCATCCATGTCAAACATTATCCAAAAATGGTCAAAGCATACTATTTGCGTATCCCCGTTTATGATTTATACCTTCATATTATTTTTCATTCGAAAAATGAAATTTGAAAAACATCCAATCACGGTTCAGGCCCGTTATGATTATTCTAACCGTTTTCATCTGGATCACCGAATTTTAAGTTATACGAGTGACAAATTTGCATCTGGTTCGGAACTCTATTAAGTGTCGACTGATATTAACGTTAATAATAATTGTTCTGGCATGGTCTAGTTACACACTTGACGACTATTTATATATGGAGCAAACTAAACGTGCAATGATCAACATAAAGATTTTTAATCTATAAAAAGTTTATATGGTGCATGAAACCTTAGTTTTAATAATTGTTTCAAAAGTTTCAATGTAGAGGTAAAAGTTTCAAATTCAATCGTTAGCGTAAAATTTAATTAATATAAAATTTATTATATAGGCATAAAGTCAATAAAGTCACTGATGGTATTTTAACAATTTTAACATCCAAGTTAAAATTGAAATAAAATCGGTAAGATGTTTGTTATATATCAACTTTTTGGATTTAAACATCTAATGTGTATTTGCATCTACAATAGCTAAAGCATGGAAGTTACATGGGAATAAGTTAGAGAGAATTTGATCGAGCATATTGATATTTATCATGATGTCATTCCAAGGAATAGCGCACATGTACATATTTATTTGGATGTTTAATAATTTTGAATTTAAATGCTTGATAATGCATATTATGGCATACCGATATACTCTAACAAGACCCTTATTTCTTATTAACGTAAACGAGTTGAGTTGCAGACGCGTCAATTGATTCCATGCAAAAGTATCGGGTTTGATTCAAGACCAGAGAAGTCTCAGGTAGTGCGTCAAGTCCGGTATTTTGTACAAAACCAGTTGCATTGTCTGTTGATGTAACGTTAAAACTGGTTTATGAATAAAGTGCTAACAAATTTTATTGTCCTACATTGACGTACCAATCGTATCTACATTTTCTTGAATGGAAACAGATTTTCCTTTTAGTAAACAAGACTAGCACATGTATTTAATAAATCTAAAAGTCAATTCTTCAGTTGATCTTTCGGCTCGCATTTAATATGTCAAATATTCTGGCCAATGGATAATATGTACCACAGGCACAAATCCACGTAGTGCTAGTACAACATTGCAGCATTGGGTTCAACTTTAATTAACTTGCCATGTCTTTTCTTTTACTTTTCCCTTCTTAACAAACTATCTCCCTGTAAGAAACGTTTTGACACTCTTTCTTTTGGTACTATTACCAAGGTTACCTACTTTCGAATTAAATACCTAGACAGCAAGTGGAAACTTAATTTTTTGGTGTAAGAAGATTACCGAGATGAACGGAGATACAAAATTAATACTATCATTGATAAATAGAATAAGTCTTAAGGTAAATTAATTAATTCTCCGAATTTTGTTGCTTCATCGAATTAATTTTAACAATTAATTTTCTTTTTTGAATAGTTACCATGTAATAGCGGAAAAAAACTAGATGTATTGGAATCTGATCCCCTTATCTTACAAACCGTAAACTCAATAATTGATTTATCGAGGTATAAACTTAGCACTATAGCTAATAATTTAACTCAACTATTAGAGACTATTTCCAAGGTATTTATTATTATTTTTTTTTTAATTTATCTTTTTTTTTAATTTATTATTATTTTTTTATTTTTTGTTTTATTTTTTTATTTTTATTTTCTTTATTTCTTTTTTTTTTATTTTCTTATTTTTTATTTTTTGCTTTTTTTTTTCTTTATTTATTTTATTTAATTATTTATTTTATTTTTTTCTATTTTTTTTCTATTTTATTTTATTTTATTTTTTGTTTTGGCATGAACGAACTATTTCGTGAATTATGCCATGAATTTCGGATTTTCAATCAATTTCAAAGTCTTTACTATTTTATATGGAGTCATTAATGAAATTCGAATTCCTGGCTAATTAAATAAGATATATATTTTTGTTTTATTCATATATCAATTTAATTTATTGATTTATTAAGCTGAAATTTTTCAATTAAACAGTCTTCAACAATGATCTTGGAAGATTTCGTCCCTTTCGATGTTCTTCAATCACAGTTATTCATCCTAAAAATTCTATCCGCCTGTATGACAAATCATTGGAAATATTATCGGGGTTCTCAACATGAGATAGATAATCAATCAAAAGCTATACAAGTGATTCCTTCAAATACTCAATCAAATATTCAATCAAATATTCAATCAAATACTCAATCAAATATTCAATCAATAAATGATTCTGATTCTGTCTCCTCTTCTACAACCCAAAATATTCCTCAACCTGTAAAAATTGATCAAAAACAACAAAAATTACCGAGGTCATGGGATGATCCTCCACCTTTGGAAGATCCACTTGCTAAATACATTTTGAGCGTATTATCTAGATTCCTTCATCAGTTTGTTACTCATGAAGATAATAACCCAAATCTTCAAAATGGTGCTTCAAGTGGTCAACCTCAAAAAGATCATGGTTTACCTAATAATCCTAATGTTCAATTTTCCGCTGCTACTCATGAAATCATTTCTGAAATTTATAAAAATGCTGGACGTGTTATATTTTATATTAGTGCTTCAAATTGGCATGTAGTTTTCTCTAGAATTAAAAATCGTATTGGGTATTTAACTTCAACAAATGATGATTGGCCTGAAACTGCTGAATTAAAATTATTAGAGGTCTCTGACCTAAATTCCAAAAGGTTGTCCATGGTTTTACAAGGTATTCTTGATATAACCTTAGTTATTATTATATTTATTTTCTTATAATTATGGATAAATATATATCTATATATATATATCTATCTATCTAATATGCTAATAAATAATAAATAATCTTTTTGTCAAGAATTATGTGGCTCATTTTTACATCTTAAAAAATCCGCTCAACTTGTAATGGCCAATGTTCTACGGAAGGCTATTTGGAATTGGATTGAGGTTTTTCCTGCTGAATTTGTACATTTATGTCAAAGCCAAAAACGATTAGAGGGTGGTCCTGAGATTTTATTTGATATTTGTTATAATCTTGCTGATAGCACCCGTCGTAAAGCTACTTTTTGGCCATTACAAACCATGCTATTAATTTTATGCCCTGATATTCTTTCGAATGCTTTTATGATTGAACGTCCTCCCTCAATGTCAAAAAAGGTATTTCCTTATTTAAACACTTTAAATTCATATTTAATCCTTGTTTGCTCATTATTTATATGTTTCAGGCGGCATTTCTCGAAGCTCTAAGAAATTCTTTAAGGAGACCTCGACTCGCTGATGTCGCTGCTGTATGTTACGTCGATATATGTAAAGCTTCTACTTATATTGCTAGGAATGAATCTTCTGCTTTACGGTCATTAGTTCCTGAAATCGAAAAAGACTTACAAGTAAATTATTTAATGATTTTTATAAACATTATAAAAATTTTATACAAACTTTTATACACATATTTTTTACCATAATCTTTTCCATAATTTTTTATACCATATAAATAGTTGAAATTATTCGATCCTGGAAGGCCATTTACAAGTGATCAACAAATTGATCAAAAGCTCATGACTGAATGCTTAACAGCTTTATTCAGATTAAACAAAGACACTTTAGGAAATCTGATTCCAGTTTGTTTGGCTGAAAATGCTCCTAGCACATTTAAATTAGTGCTAGTGAAAAGTTGCTATGCTATCGCCTCAGAGGTAAAAATATATATATATATATTTATTTATTTATTAAAATGAATCTAAATGTTTATAATAAATATTTGTGAAATAAATCTTTAATATTTGTTATAAATCCTTATGATAATTTTTTCAATAATTTTTGTGACAATTGTTTTAATAATTCTTTTTAATAATTTTGTATTATAATCCTTTCTGATAATCCTTTGGTTATAATCGTGACTCTCTCATCCAACAGGAAAATAGGTTCCCATGGAATCCGCAACTTTCTTCTGTATATTCAATTCTTGCTGTACCTTTGCGTAAATTATTTCACCAGCACGTTTCGAGTCGAGATAGGAATAATGATCCTAGAAGAAGGAGGATGCCAAGGGAAAGAGCAGATGAGTTGAATGAAAAAATGGAAATAATATTAAATATATTAAAATTATACAAATCGGATCCCATGCTTGCTCTTGTGGTTAATATGAATTTTATATTTTCATATTTCAATTTATTTTAATTGAATTTATTAACCTATTTATTTTATTTTATTTTTAATAGCATAGTGATCCTAACGGAAACCCTGAGGAGATTCGATTGGTTATCCATGGAATGACCCTATGTGTTAATGATCATAATAGTGCAATTCGGACTACTGCTGCG